ACTATCAATAAGTCACAGGGCCAGACATTGTCCACTGCCGGGGTAGAGCTCAGTGGATCTGACTGCTTTTCACACGGGCAGCTATATGTAGCCTGCTCAAGAGTCAGATTTTCTCTCAGCCTATTTATCCATGTCCCAGGTGGATGTACTTCCAATGTCGTCTATCAAGAGGCTCTTCGGTAAATAAAACTAATTTTTTCACAGATGTGTGATACACTACAAACACACAAGTACAACTAATCACAATTTGACATTTTTCGTTTTTTCTAAGTGACGCAGTTAGCACATGGTTCACAGTATATTTTGTTAACTTATATTTAATTGTTATAATAATGTACAATAAAAAATGTAAAATGTAATGTAAATAATGTACAAGTAATTTGTTTGTTAATTGTTAAATTAATGTATTATTTATACACACAACCCGTACGAAGGACGGGTACACAGCTAGTACTTAAATATATAGTTTGTAAGCTTCAATATTTTACGATGCTTTAAAATAATATAAATATTTATTTTGATTATACTATGTTTTCACTAATCATTTTTATGTAAATAGACAGAAGATGAAACGGATAGTGTTTGTCAATTAATTTTCTTTTAATTATTGATTACTTTTAAGGTACAGTACAGGTGCATAAAAAGTGCATGTAAAATATTCGTAATATCCAAAATGTTAGAGTAAACAATGTTGTACATTGTACGTCATCTGACATGAAAGTACTAGGTTACATTTACAAAACATAAAAAAAATACACAAACGTTTGATAGAAAGTTTGGAAAATTAAAAAATAAATAATTTTCTTGATTGTGATAACCTAGGGAATTTTTTTTTGGGGGGGAGTATATGTATTTTCTTTAGATCTGTAAGAGAACAAATACACCTACCCTGTTCATGAGGTTGAGAACAGATGTGATTAATGCAGCTATTTATACAGTGGTAATGCTCATACATATATATTTATATAACTTATCATTTTACCCCCAAAACTCTACCTTTGATTGGTTGGCTTGCAAGCTCTCCTATTTAAAGAGGCATTCAACAACTTTAGAAGTCGGTCGATTTCTGAGCTTCAAGATTACGAGCTCGTAGAGTAAGTTAGTTCACTGAATTGTAATGTAGATATTTCACTGTTATTATGTAATTATTCTATTAGGTATGCGTATTGTATTTGCTTGACTTGTTTCGTTATTTTTCCATATCTTGATTATTATTCTTCCAAGAACTCTACGTTATTAGTTTGGTGAAGAAATATTACGAAGTCTAATAGAACCATTCTTCTATTTTGACCCTTATTTCAACCGGCTTGCATGTTCTGAAGTACTTTTCCATTTAGAACATTAGATGTTGACTGAGTGCACTTCCACGTTTTCTAGTGGTAACTGCCCGTCAATGCACTCGTTACCAAACAGTTACGTCCTGCCACACTCAAAATCGCCACACAGGAAAATATTGTGTTTGGAAACGTTTGTTAAGTTATTGATAAATAAGTTTCATAAGTTGAAAATTGGCCTACGTAATTTTGAAAGTTGCAAAGGGTTCAGTTAAGCTTTTTGAAATCGAACAAATTTTCCTATTTTACACAATATTAAGACAACTCCAGTTATATTTCTCTTTCGTTTAGACAATATGACACTTGAATTCCACCATTCCGACAAGACGATGTTACATATCATTACGTCTGAGCTTTTCTATGTCTTCAGTTACACGTCTTAAAATTTCTAAGCTTCCCAATAATCATCCCTTGAGTTAAAACTTGAAGATAACCCAACTGGAGTAGCATATCTATTTTACCAGTAAAGTGTGAAATATCCCGAAGAACTCCAGAAGGTTGCAACAACACTTTTTTTTCACTTTATATGAAAATGTGGAATGAAATCCTTATTGTATTTGGTTTATAGTGGCTAATCCATGAGATAATATATTTCACTCTTCTTTATTATCAATTTTAGTGATATAGAGTTTGCCATCTAACAACCTGGTGGTCTTTGCGTAGCATTTCACCCCAAAAAGTGGGATTCCTTCCTGAATTATGTAGAAAAGGTCCACACACGATCCTACCAATCACAGCATTCTGATTAAAGGAACCCTTTGCCATGGCAGTTACAACTACACTAGAATCATCAAGAAAATTCACTGGGACTACGAAATGGAAACTCTGGTTGTATAAAGGATTTTGGGAAGAAGACACGACTGATGTTTTCATTGTTTTTACTTTCTGTCCTGAGCACATTAAAGTCACTTTTACGAAACTGTCCAGCTTATCTGTGTATAGATATAAGCACTGAATTAGAAAAAATCTACACACTTTAGATGGACTTCTTTAAACGTAGGAAACATTACATCTGAGCTTGTTACAACTGCATTTTGAAAAAACATATGGAGATTATGTGTTTTTCGTTAAAAACAAAGTTTCATTTCTATTCTATTCAGTGTGATTGTCTGGCAATTAGAATTAAATGGACCATGACTTTTTCAGAAAAACAACAACAAATTACTAAACACTAAATATATATATATATATACAGTACTGGAACTAATAATGGAAACACACGAGCGATATACATATAGTAGTCACAGACAATGAGTAATGGAAATTAGATGGTGAATTCGATTATGGTACAAAACATCAACACAGAAGACACAATGAAAAGCGAATATTTTGAGCAATGCATTAGTATTCTTCATGTGAGCCTAATACTTGAGCAGAGTATTACACCTTGTTTTCATGCTGCCAAACAGTTCATCAACATTTATCAAATGTCCTATATTACTCGCTACAAGTTATTTGGTCATCTTTTGACCTTATCAGATTTTACATAAGCCCATAGAGCTTCAATAATGTTGATATCTGGACTATGTACAGACCAAATCATGGGTGTGGGTCAGTCTCTTTAACGTCAATAAATCTTTTCATCACATTTTCTGCATACTTGTGATCATTATCTTGCTGGCAGCTGATTTTCTTCCCAATTAGCCATGTTCCTAAGGAATGGCATGGTCGATCAGAATTTACCCATACTTGTCAACAGCCAATGTGCCATTAATTTGTGTAAATCAGCAATACCAATAGCTGAAATACAGCCCCAAACTTGTAATGATTCCCCGCCATGCTTTACTGTAGATATTACACCGTTATAATACCGTTCATTTTCTGCCATTGATTGTTGTCAAATTATTCGAATTTGAAGTTATTTATAAAAAGCACACGTATCTAGTTTTATTTATTCCTCTGTTTATAGTTCAATGATAATTTATTTTGTTTTTTGTTACCTTTTCTCATCAATGGGTTTTAAACAACTAAAGGTATATTGAAATCACTTCATGGTAATATTTATTTTTTCTTTCTTAAAATAATATTTGCACTTGTAATTACAACAAGGATATTGGGAAGATCTGTACTTGACCGTCATCAATCTGATAAAGAATATACCCTGAAATATTTAACATTACTTTTGGTTTTGTCCCTCGAATACTTCTATTATTAACAAAGCCAGTTTCACGTACACTTCTCAGAGACTTGCATATAGATTCTTCTAAAACGCAGAGTGTTGTTATGCTTTTTCACAAGGATTCTCTTAGACCATGCTTATTATGCAGTATTTCAGAGTTATGAGTAATAACTGATTTACACTACATTACTGGGGATAGTATGACTGTCTGTAGGTTTTTAGGCTTTATACTGGTGTATTGCTTTGTGATTAGTTGGATGACAATCAACTGCAACATTGACTTCATTGTGGAGCAGTTCATTTTCACACGGTAAAGGAATAGCATTTCCGAAGTATTTGCATTTAACATTATTTTTCTCATTGTTTCCATACATATGTCTAATACTGTATATATATATATTATAGATTAAAAACATAGTAAATACTTATTCAGGGATTTTTATACATTTTTAGTGGTACAATTTACATGATTTTAAACTCACATGGTTTTATTCTTCACCTAATAACTCTAAAGCTCAGAGAAACTCTAAATTCAAATGATATAACTAGTTGAAAATCAATTAATTCAGTTTTATTCCTCCTTAAAGACGTATTTCTCCTTAAAGAGTCGTCTTCACAAACTAATTTAACTGGGGTAACAATATATTTACGGCAGCTAACCAGCATAAAATTGGCCCTTGCTGCAATGGAAAAACAAACAAACAAACAAAAGCAACAACTAAAAGATTTATTAGGGCTAAACGGGAGACAATAACTAAGATTAAAATACGTTTTAACCCAAGTTATTAATCAGAGGTAGTTCCTAAACAACCACAAAGTGATTTTTTTCTACTCACAGTCTTAAAGAGCTGATAAGTAAATAGGAAATGATGGTAAATTAAAATTCAATGTAATTTCAAGCTCTTTATAATCGTCCTTCTTACCTTTACTGCATAAATTCTTTAAAGGAGTCTTCACAACGGCTGGATTAATTCGGTAGTCTCGTCCTCGGAGAATGCTAACTGTCAACAGACTCTTCGTAGATGAGTAACTCAATGCAAGAAGAACTTGACCGAGGTTTTCAAGTGGCTGTAAGGCAGTATTAAAGTTACTGAAGAATTAGATCAACAACAGCTGCAAAACCTCTCTTCATTTTTTGCGTGACTGCTAATTTATACAAAAAAAATGACGTGACAATAAATTTCAAATAGTATGAATGCATCAAGTGAACAATAGCAAAATAGGCTTAACTAACGTCAGGCTTACTTTATACATTAGCAAGGGTAGGTATATTTATTTCAGTGCATCCATATGAAAGTGTTACCATTTCTTTAATCAAAGTGAATGATACGTTCAAAGATACTGAAATAGTTATCATTTCCACTACGTTCCTATCTACGTACAAAAGAACTTGACAAATAAACCTAGGTGTGTAATACTTGCAAACTTTAATCGTAATTTCAATTAAGAACCTGATCAAACATAAAGCCTATCTATTACAATGTACATATTTTCTATTAGTTCATAAATTATAGTCGACAAATTACCCATCCTTCCAATTACCAGGAGACAACATAATTTTTCTTTAAATAAGAAAAATACAGGATCATTCACTCACTTTTATTTAGCTCCATTTATTCAAATGGATAGTTGTTGGTAGGTCTTTTATTATAGATGGATAGTGACTGGTAGGTCTTTTATTATAGATGGATAGTGGCTGGTAGGTCTTTTATTATAGATGGATTGTGACTGGTAGGTCTTTTATTATAGATGGATAGTGACTGGTAGGTCTTTTATTACATATGGATAGTGACTGGTAGGTCTTTTATTATAGATGGATAGTGACTGGTAGGTCTTTTATTATAGATGGATAGTGACTGGTAGGTTTTTATTATAGATGGATAGTGACTGGTAGGTCTTTTATTATAGATGGATAGTTGCTGGTAGGTCTTTTATTACATATGGATAGTTGCTGGTAGGTCTTTTATTACATATGGATAGTTGCTGGTAGGTCTTTTATTACATATGGATAGTTGCTGGTAGGTCTGTTATTATAGATGGATAGTGACTGGTAGGTCTTTTATTATAGATGGATAGTGGCTGGTTGGTATGGATAGTG